TCGTGAAGACGAGACTGTCTTAACAGGTGTAAATTGCTATATTAAAGTCATCAATCTCAGTGTTTCCCTACGATTTATTGTTTCTATATAAGATTTAAATCGCCCCACTATATATAGTTCTTGCTGACATTGTAGATCAAAGCTTCAATTTCGCATAAGCGATGAACACTTCGCGTTGTTGGAATCCATACATATTTTACGACCACACTTGACATTCTTCATGGTTCAAAAATAAAATTAAAACGATTTTGTTTCAGGAAGAATGGTTTTAGAACAATATTTTTTTTTCAATATGTTTTGAAGCGCCAGCTTTCAAGCTTTTAAGTTAAATTTATATTGCAAATAAATAAATATAAAATTTATAAAGTTGATTAAATTGAATTAGCTTAGATAAATTACGACAAAATATAATATACAAAGATAACGAAGTCGTCTGGTTTAAAACAAACATCTGGTATAAAACTAGACTAAAAATTTATAGTCAAATCAAAATAGCTTTATACTTGTAGGGAATGTTAGTAAATAAGACAAAAAAAATATACAAATATATAAAAAAAATCAGAGATATCTAAAAAAAAAATCATAGATCTATTCCATTTAATAAATTTTTATAAATAAAATCCTTACATTAAAAAATAATAAACTGTGCTATATTAAAGATTCAAGTGAATTTAAACAGGTTATTGATGTAACAGGATCCGATACTTTCTTTGAACCTCATTAAATATTTCAGGTCGGTGTGGACACGACACGGGAACGGGTACGACACGACAACGTACAGATATATCATTAATAATGTAATATGTATGAATAATACGATGAAACTCAGTTTCTCACATTAAAATGAATGAATAAGCAAAAATATACGCAAACAGTTCTTTTATTTTTTATAGTTTCGAAGTTATAAAGCACCAAACATACATATAAAAAATACTAATTGAATTTATCAAATATATTTAACGAAAACCATAACCACCACATTCTAAATAGGTTAAATAATATCATTATGTAACTTTATACGAACCCGGTACAAATTCCATTCATGATAGTAATACATAAAAAAAAAAAAACACGTGAAACACATATGCGAAAAAATTGGCAGTTGATGTGAAAAAAATGTCAGCGATAATCGCTCTTATTACAAGTGTATAGAGACTAAAGTGGCGTGTCATATTAATTAACATTTATTATAGCTCTGGGAGAATGACCTGATATTTGAACGCTATTTTAGTGTTTGAGAATGTTAGATCTGATACAGACTAAAAATATTACAAATATAATAATATATATTATATAATTAATTATAATTATATATGGAAATAGATTTAAATATATATATAATATTTAGATAATAATAATATCATTTTAAGAACAGAAGCTAACACATCGAGTTATTTATGTTCGGTTTCAATCATAAAACAATGATACCAAAAATGTACAAAAAGTATATCCCAGTATTGTTCTTCCCACAAACAGATTTAAGATATATTCAAATAAACCTCGATTTATAGTGACTGGGAAATTCAGGATAGATTTTTGCTTTCGCTTTTAAGATAACATCTTCATACTATGAGATCTCATCTCGAATCTCGATTGTTCTGATGCTCACAGCATCTTATTATTTAAACATATGTTACAATAGTAACATATACATAATAAAAATATAACAAATTTAACACAAGTATTTATTTTAATATTAAAATTTATAAGCCATTAGTAATATCAAAAACTCATGATTTATATTCAGAGATGTTATTTACTCGGTTTTGTAAATTTACGATACAGACCATTGAAATAAAATCAATGATAATTTATTGACTGTATAATGAGTTTTGTTATTTATAATTACTTTTCATATATATATTTGTTTATCAAATAAATTATAAATATAGATTTTATATTAAATATATTATTATAATTTGCGTAATGATTTTTTCTGAAATTCGTTGACATAAAACCTCGCATTGGTTATCAAATTATTTGAGTAGATTAAGCTTTTAGCTCTAAAGTAGTAGAAGATTTTTTCCTTCAGATATAAGTCGTTAAATTACTTCAGACAAAATTTTCTCATGTAACTAAACGATAGATCAATGGTAAGCAATGTAATCAATGGTATGTAATTTAATCATTTAAGCCCTAGTCCAATATCTAGAATAATTATTATCCTTACAATCGTAAATTCTCCCAAAACACCTTCACCCTTTGTTTTTGTTATCTCAAACTGTTTTATTAAAATGCGACAATCAATGAGGATATGTATAACGAATTTTCATTTAATTTGACAAAATAAAACATAAGGAATAGAATTTATCTCGGAATTAAAGGTGGTTCCTACGGGATTAAGGCATGAGTTGTATTATTTATTAGCTTTCCGAACGCATCTTCGCCCGCGTGGAGTTCGGTTATATCGCGTTTCCAAGAGAACCTTTCAAAAGTCTGGAATAAAAACTATTCTATGTTCATTCTCAAGGTCAATTCCATCTCTGTACTAAATTTCACTAAAATCAGTTCAGTGGTTTAGAGGCGTGAAAGCGTAACAGACAGACAGACAGAGTTATTTTCGCATTTATAATACAAGTAGGGAAAACATCCCACAAAATGGACTATAGAGGTCGCTGACTGTTAATTACTAAGTTGGTTTTAACACAATACATTTTCTTCTGGAGACAATCACGAGATCCAAACGGACAAAGTCACTGACAAAAACTAGTATATAAAAATATACAAGACCCGTATCAAAGGATGCTTTATAGTCCATTTATATTAATATTAATGCTCGACTTCGGCGGTCTTTTTTTTGTTCCAAAATTATTGCCATCTTTTTTTGTGGTTGTTATTTAAATTGCATATTTATCATAGACACTAAACGCACTAATTAGATATTTTATATTTTCTCGTTTCTGTTTCGATATGGGAACGATTTCATTAATAATACAGTTCGTCTGTCTTGCTAGACTAAGTTGTGAGAGTAATAATTTTATGTATTTTGTAATTTATTGATAGATTTATGTGAATTATATGAAAAATTATCATTTTACCTATTAGCAAATATTACTATAAACTGCTTGAAATTCAAAAAATATGTTTTGTTTCTATATCAAGAACAAACGACACATTCGCCATGATTGACATTTCTAAGATTGTAGAGTTTTTACGAAATATAAGCCAGCAGAATGAAAGACATGCGAGTACGTGAGAAGTAAGAGAAATTTCGCTTTGATACAAAATAAAATGATCTTGAAGTACATACATACTTTCAAATATAGTCATTAATAGAAAATTTTAACTAACTAATTTGTTGATAAGCGAACAATTATATGAATCCTAACATATTCAAAAAACTGTAATTATTAAATTACAATATAACACTATAAAGAAAACAATTAATAAATGTAACGTCCACATTTAAAATATTATTTTGTTATTATTTATACAAACAAATTTCTACAAACACATTGATAAGATAAATATTCATTAAAATAAAACTAGATTGTAAATTAGAAACAAAAAAACTAATTTACAAAAGTAGCATAAAATCTTTATCTCGCGACAATTTTATTTTATTTATACTTTGATTCATTGCTAACAGAAAACGGGAGGCTGATATTATATAAATAACCTGATTTTTATTATATACCAAGTTATTTATCGTCAAGATAAAAGCTAAAACATGTTGCACGAAAAATAGATTCGGAATTAAATAAAAAAAAAGGTTTTGTGTTCTAAGACCTCCTTGTACACGCCCCGAGCGCTTGGAATCACAATTGAGTCATTACTATTTGACAAGTAATATTCAAGCCGGCAATTATATTTATTAAGACATCTAATCCTATACTATTATCCCGGTTATTTGGGTGTCAATTTTAAACCTTTTGTTTTTATATCGTATATGATTTATGCCAAATGCACGTTTGATATGAATTTTAAACACCCATACTGTATGTCAGATTGGAAATAGAAAATTTTTAAGTTATATTATACGCGGCGTGGAATTTGTATGTAAGCATATTAAAATTTTTGAAGCAAGTTATACGGTCGCGTCTAGCGGCTGTCTGGTAGCTATAATAAAAAATATATATAATTATTGCCATTAAAAAATGCATATATTAGTTGAAAAGAATGTATAGATGATATTCTAATTTAGATATAGTTATAATCACATCCTATTAAAGGTTTGAGGAAACCAATTGTTTCAGATATGTTCTTTCTTTAATTCCGCTTACATTGCGAGATGTATTGCATTTTTTAAAGGTTTTTCGTAATAATATAAAAAATAAGAGTCTCGACTTAACAAACGTATATCAAGTGTGAGCACATTTATCGGTTTGTAGAACCGTTTGTTGACCCAGGAGCGTATTTCATTTCAAACCCAGCAGTGGTTTCCTAAGAAATGATATCATTTAACATAATACGTCTGTATTTCTTAAGCTTCGAACCAATAAAATTCCACTTATATATGTCTCGTGTTGCTGAAGTTAATCCACATACATTATACTATATATTTTTTTGTTTCTCATTCTTTAAACATTTTTAACGGACTAAAGCTATTGTCAAAGTTTAGTTATGCATCTTCTGAATCTCGTAGTTCAAATTGAGAAAAATATTGTCCCAATATTGCTATAAACGAGGGCTCAAATAGTTGGTATGGAACATTCTTTTATATTAAGTATTAGGAAAGTCAATGAAAAATAATGGAAATGTCATATTAAGCATCGGTTGGAGGAATACCTATTCAAGCACTGTCGATAGGTGTATAGATTTAGTATAATAGGTGAAGAGAAGATACTTGGGAAAACCTTACATACAGATCATTGGTTAGTATATGAAGAGCTTGGGAATACTTGGGAAACCTTATATACATATCATTGGTTAGTATATATAGAAGTATGTACTCACTGTAAACGCTGCTGCCTTCTGTGGTGCCGTTGACGGTGCCATCCGGCATCAGCTGCAGATAGCGATTCTTTAGGAACATCTGTATTGTACGCGAGGTGCCGGTGATGTGGCTGAGGTTGGCCGAGCGCTGGGCCCGCGGCTCCGGGGCGGGGGCAGCGGCACAAGAAGCCAACGCCAGCGCGGCGAGCAGCAGCCGCAGAGGGCGCGTGCGCAGGCGCATGTTGCGCCGCGCCCATTGCAGCCGCCAGGCCGCCGTTTGCTCAACAGAACATACCACAACACTACAAAGATCACACGACCCTGTCCCGATCAAGATTCATTACACAGCATCTTGTATTCAGGTGCACAGCCTTATGAGATCTATTGACGGCGGTCTCTGCTGCATGGTACACACCGCCGGTCAACTAGCGCTCGGATGCTGGGTCGATCTGTAACAAATGATGGGGGTACGTTAAAAATTACATACAACATGTAATTGTCGCATTGGATAGACATAACAAGATATCAATTGCATGCGATCTTGTAAACACATTACATATGTACGTTTTGCGGATCGTTTGATAATAATAATTTGGTTTTTAAAATTTTACGATCACAAAGTTAAAGATGAGCTTTTAATTTACAGTTTATGTTTCCAATGTTATATAAAGTATTAGCTCGAATGTTTTTTTGTGATTCTAATTCTGTAAAATCAGCCATTCTGTTATTATTAAAGGATGAACGAAATAATCCTCCAAGTCATATTAAACACGCGCTCATATATTTCATCGTAAAGTTTATTATTATACGGGAATTGTTTATATTAGAGAAGATTTTTTTCAACCCGGATATTTTGAATTCTTACGAGTGTGATGCTTAATTTGATTACGATAGCTTTTAATAGGCTTGCGAAAGAAAATTTTTTATAACAACAAAATCTCTTAAAACTTCTCGTCTTAAAAAAGAATTATTATCTTTGCAGTATCTTCTATAATAGTTACTTAATGCTTTAGAAAATAAAAGAGGAATTTCAATACATAAACAACATTAATTAAATAATTATTAAAATTGGTATTTTGTATGTACATAATATCTCCTTACAATCTACATATTTCCCGTGTGGTTTCCACAAACATATTTCATACAGAAATAATTATTGAACGTAAATTAATAACGTAGGTACAGAAAGCTTTGGAACAAGTTCCAATGGAATTAACAGCTAATGCTAAATCAGTGATCAGTTATTGGATGTTAAGGCGAGTGTACACGACACTAATCCAGACGAGTTTCTAAAGAGGTTGAAATCAAAGGCTTATATATACAATATTTATATAAATAATCAGTTTTTTCTTATTTTTTAATCATGTTTTGAACTTACATTTTTATTACTTTAAGGTGAATTTGGGATATTGTTTCACTATGATAGTTTAATTACTACTGTTCTTCTTTTCCCTGGCAATTTCCCAGCTTTTAGCCAGGGTTTGCCTTACATGTTGTGAATAGTTTTGGCTAATTGTTTTTACGACCGGCCGCCTGCCTGTCATAAACCCTGTTTGGGAATACATTAATCAGTGATGTCTAAATACTCTTAGAAAGTACATATGACTCGGAAAAATCACATTGGTACTTGCCAGGGCCAGGATCGAACCCGAGCCCTCATGCATGAGAGGCGGGACTTTTACTAGGCCACCACTGACTTAATTTAATTCCTATTGTTATGGCTTCATTTCCACCTACCCTCAAATATTTCTTATACTTATAAAGAGTATGTCACTGTATAGTGTATATCAGGCTTAATATATTTCAATACTAACTAAAGTCAATTGATTCACTCTGCTACCAATATTTAATGTAGTTTCTAATTGCTGTCTCAATTCACGCTTTCTTTTCATTAACAAAATGAGGCCAAGATTTAATCAAACACCGAAAAAAAGAAATCTATAGAAGAGATTTACGTAAGCTATTGTTTTCATTTTTTGGCATAGGAATGACACTTCGTTAATTTTTAAAATAAATTTGTATTACAAGATTTAATTTTAAAAGCAATTGAGGCGATATATTCCGAAGATTACAAGTTCGATTCTTGATTTCGATTATTTTCATTACTATGTTTGAATTTTCCATATATATATACTTTAAGTCGATGCAATAACTTCGCAAGTACAATTTAGGGAGTATAAGTAAACTTCGAATACAGGAATAAAATATTGTTATTATTTTTGTATAACATAATATTAACAATCAATATAAATCTTATAAACGCGACGAGATGTTTAAGAATTCGATATTAAACAATCCATCAGTTATTTGATACGGACTAATTGACCGGACGATTAACACTGACACCAATGAATCTTAATACAGCCACGGGCAAAAGTATTAGGCACCCTACAGTAAGACAAGTTTTAGGGTGTTTTAGCATAGCGAGTCTAAATAAAACTGCATTTATGATTACAATGGTTTATTTTAAGAAAATAATTAATATTTTGTAGGTCCACCTTTTGACTTAATAACCGCAGCCACTCTTTTTGGCATTGACTCTACCAGCCTGAAACATTCTTCTCTTGATATATTTTTCCATTCCTGCTGTAACGCGACCAATAGAGCTTGTTTATTGCTAATCGAGTGCCTGCGGATATTTTTCTTTAAAATGGACCAAATATGCTCAATCGGGTTGAGGTCTGGTGATTGTGGTGGCCAGTCCAAAAGATCAATATGATTTTCAGCAAACCACTTCATGGTATGCGCGGACTTGTGGCAAGTGGCGTCGTCTTGCTGAAATTTCAGGCCACCGGTGTTTGTATCACCGAAAATTTGCGTTATCGACGTTGCTAGTGCTGTTTCCAGAACTTCAGTGTATTTAACACTATTCATTCGTCCCTCACACAATACCATTTCGCCCACTCCGTCGGCAGCCATGCAACCCCAGATCATTATTGAGCCTCCACCATGCTTAACAGTGGGAACCACACATTCTGGGTTGTATTCTTCGCCAACCCTTCGCCTAACATAAGTCACACCGGGTGTTCCAAACACCTATACCAAAGGAAAAAACACATTTATTTTCAAAGTTATTATTTTTCTTGCAGTATGTTATTTTAAAAACATTTATGTGTTTTAATATTGTACATAAAATAAATAACAATACCTCAAAGTTAGATTCGTCTGACCACAGTATGTTGGACCAATCTTCCACTGACCAATCTCTATGTTTGAGTGCCCACTCCAACCGATTTTTCTTATTGTGTTCAGACAGCCACGGCTTCTTCCTTGCTTTACATCCTTTTAATCCAGCTTTAAGAAGTCTTCTTCTCACAGTATTAACACTCACTGAGTTGCCTTTTGCCTCAGATAATGCTGCAGCGAGCTCTAAAGCAGTTTTTTTCCTGTTTTGTAGAGACTGCCTAATCAACAATCGATCTTCCCGTTCAGTAGTAACTTTTCTTCTGCCTGTTCTTGGTCTGTTTTCATGGGTGCCAGTCTCTTTGAAGCGATTTATAGCATATTGAACTGCACATCTCGAGCACTTCACTTCTCGGGCTATTTTAACCTGAGACATGCCTTGTTCATGTAAAATCTTAATTCTTAGACGCTGTTCAGCACTAAGTTCAGATTTTTTCGGCATGATTAACACGTTAAATTTTAGTCTTTAGAATTGTGATAGGAATAGTTGCGTAGAAGACGTGTATATTCACTGCAAGCACTGATAACACACTATAACCCGAAACGCAAAAAAAGCAAATTCGAAGAAACACCGCTTAGGAGCATACCTGGATGTCATAAATATTTTCTTTTATCTTAATTTGGTTAAAAATTGCCGCTAATACAATAGCTAAACCATAAAACACACACTTGACCGCTATCTAATGAGATAGTGACTAACAATAGGGGTGCCTAATACTTTTGCACGCAGCTGTATAAGCTTTTACCGCGGCGCTGTTTGCTGTTTTATTAATAATGATTTTTAAATTTTGCTCCATATTAAATGCTTCATTAATCGTTTGTTTACCAATAGTTTTCATAGATAAACTATAGAGACAGAGTTTGATATTTTTCATTGCATACGTAGTTATATGTTAAGATTTATAAGTACTATCTGATGACTGTAAATGTATAGTTTAACGATGAAACTTGTTGTAAGGATAGAGAATACCGACAGTATCGACGTTTTTGTATGTAAAAACATACAAATGAAAAATCTAGTATAGTCTTTATATATTGTAACATATCGTTGTACAATTATATTTTTAGGTTAGAAATTATTGAAAAACAGCTAAAAATAACTTTTAATTTCAAAATAAATTCCAGCAATAATCAAAAGCCAATAATTCTGTTAAATTGCAAAATAATCTATGGGAAATATTTCATTATTTTAAAACCTTTTAAAGAATTTTGGTCAAATTAAAATTTCCCATTACTAAAGGTTAAAATGATTGGCTTAAATCTTTATATATAAAAGAAAGTCGTGTTAGTTATACTATTTATAACTCAAGAAAGGCTCTACGGGTTTGGATGAAAATTGGTGGAAAGATAGATTAGATTGAAGGAAAGGACATAGGATACATTTCATCCAATTAAAAAAGAAAAAAAGTTGCAAAATCCAAAATATTCTCATCTATTATTGTCTTTAAGGAGAAATTGAGTTCGTTCGATCAGTTATACATTTCTAATTCTGAAACTAACGTAGGTAGACGAAGTCGCGGGCAAAAACTAGTAATATATATATGCTTCTGCATTAAAATTCTCCTATACACAATATAATTAAAAATAGATCAGTCAATGACTATATGTATATAATATCAGTTTTTAATAAATTCATTTCAATTAAAGTTATCACAAGTTTAACAGTTCAAGGTGATTGATTAATTATAAATGTTTTTACACACACTGGGACATATAGAAAGAGACGCGCATTTTATATAACTAGCTACATACCCGTGGTTTGTCTGTTATATTATATCTTGATAATTATCTATTTTATACATACAATATGTTCAGCAGTTTTCACTTGCAATATACAGGTAGAGAGAGGAGCTTGGACGGTGGAGGTGAGCGTTTAACGCGCGTTAGATAGGGGCCCTTAAACCTAGACCTGGGTCGCAAGTCACAGTCACTGTTGAAGCTCCTCTCTCTACAACGATGGGCCCCTTACACGCACGGTGAATACATTGAATCCTATGAAGTATCATCTCTACTTATATATTTATAAAAAGCTATCTGTAATAATTATATGACGTCATAGTATAACAGTGTCTAGTTCGTTTTCATTTAAACTTCTATGGGATTTAATAATTTTTTTATGTATTATAAAACATATAAATACACGAAGCTTAGCTCACAAACGTATTATGTTAAAAACGTCTGGCATTGAAAAGGCTATTAAACTGGTCACCGGCATCTATTATTAAATATATCTATGCGTATTTTAGCTGTAAAAATACTCTAGATATATATA